GATAAGTGCAGGGCCCTTGTCCCTTTAGGGATAGATGGGCCAAGAATGAGCCAATCCCTCCCATTCCAAAGGGAACTCTCTGAACTTTGACTCATACTAGAGCCAGAAGAATAAAGAAATGTTACCAAAGCAGGTGTTTAGAGATCAAATTCTGTCTGACAGTGTGACAGGGATTCTGCACAGCTGAAAAGGTAGAGAGGCAAATGTACTCCCTTTGGAAGTTATGGTGTTGCTAAAGAAATAACCATGACTACTGCTCATGTTCGCAGAACAGAAACTTAAAACTAGCAAGTAAATCTTCCTACCATTGCGATTGGGCCTTAACACACTTGAGTTTTCAACATTTTGATTTGTTGACCTGGAGTCTGAGATATTTTAAAAAATTAAATTGAACTGCGACATGCAGTAAGTTGAGGTATGCTCTAATTTGATGAGGTTGTTGTCTCCAGCTTCCTTACCGCCAATCACTAATGAATGCACAGCTGTGCACTGAATGCATCATGATGAGTTACACCAAGGATCTAATACAGGAACCAATCAACTATCCACCTCTGAATGCCTAGTTCTGTGTCTAGCCATGGAAGATGCTGAAGGCGGAGGGATTTGAAAAAAAAGAGACAGCCTTATGTGGGAATTTACAACCTAGCTGGCATGTTCAAGGGGCAGGGAGGAGCAGAGACAAGACATAAGAGCTGGGAACGACTGGTGAGCAGTGAAAGAGATAAGAGGTTATATATGGACTACCCAATCAATGTAGTAAGAGTGCTCCCTCTTACAGTGAGCACTTACAGCAGAATGAACACATTGGAAACACATTAAAGAGCTAAGAGACAACTGGAATTAACCATAGATAAGTTTTATTACTTAATCTCTTCTAAAATTTTTGTTCAACCAGTAAGTACTGAATGCATTGTATTGTGCTAGCCCCTCGTCCCCCACGTGTGTATAGGAGAGTGAGCAAAACATGGAGCCTACACCTCAGTGGGGGAGATGGACAAAAAACTAAGTTACAATGTGTTAAGTATACTAAAAAAACAAATAAGATACTGATACAGGGCCTCCTTTACTGGGCCCAGCTGTAAAATAAAACATGAGTCTCAAAGGACCCAGCCTGGCAAACAGCCCAGAGACAGAAGCCTAGGGCAGGAAAGAACACGGGGAGTTCGACATTGCAAGTAGGCCAAATGGGACTGGCTGGAGGAGCTGGAAAGAGGGAAGGGGGTGGGTATGGAAGAGGAGGTTGGAGACATGAAGAGGGGAACATAATTCAGCATCCCTGCATACCAAGGAAAGAGATGTGGACTGAAAGTTCAATGAGAAACCAGAAGAATGAGAGATCCTGCTGGCTGCTGTGTGGAGAAGAAGTCAGGAAGAGGTAGTGGGAAGATGTGCTAAGAGTATGTAACACAAGTGTATTAAGAGTATATAATAGCTACACACCAATAAGTTCAGTTCCTTAAAACAATGTGTGAGGATTTCAAGCTGAATGTCTGATGGACAAAAGCTACATTTCACTCACAGGCAGGTTCAAGTACTACAGTTACTGTATTTCAGGTGACAACTCTCAATTATCAAAATGTCTTAAGGCTACGTGCATTTACTTCCTATCTCCCTTTTTAGACTTCTAGTGGAATTGTCCAAGTGGCTGTTTTCAGCATGAAATGCCAGGATACCTTAGTGCAAATGCACAGGTAACTGATTAGATTAGTTAAGAGCTTAGTGATAGCGCAGGAGGGGAGGGCTTGCATTTCTGATCTTCTACTCCTTTTACATGTTCAATTTCATGATTAAATTTAACAATTGGCTACTTAACTTTATTCCTAACAGATGCCAAAAATGAGGCTGTTTGAGTCAACGGTTCAAGGTGGAGTCTGCCATCAAGCGTAATGTATCAATAAACTTCATGCAAGCATAAAACCTCATATTCCTGCTTATTTTGTAATTTGTGATAATATCATTTTCCAACGCTTGTACACACTGTAAAAAATACATAAATAAGTAACCACTCCCACTCGAGCTTTTGTAGCCAGGCATTCCCACTGATGATTCTGTATTTGGCATTCACACCCAATGAAAAGCAGCACCTTGTTATAATACCGTATGTATTTCCCCAGAGAATACTTACTAGTGCCGACTGCCTATGACCACTGTGCATGCCAGGCAGCTGGTGTCTGGCCCTGGGGATGGCAGCACCACAAGGACTTCTTTATATGAACACTCTTGATAATTTAGGATAGTATGAAGTGGCAACGTTAGTACATTTGAAAGTTTAGAAGAAATTACACTTTTTTTGAATATTCTAAAGTCTTTATTTAGCATCAGGTAGATTATTTCATTATAACACTTGTTAACTTCTGGACAGCAATTAAAATAATTTACTGACAGCTATCTAAGACCCTCTGGAGCAATATCTTAGTCTGTGGCTGGATGGATAAAAATAAGATTAAAGGGGCAAAGCTACTGTACTGTAGGTCTCCATACATACTTTAAGTACACAGGTGTCTTGCAAACTTGAAGTGCACAGGACCTCCTGTTATATAGTTAGATATTTATAATACATGAGTACAATTTAATTTCTCTCTTGGCACTTGCCACTAGAAATCGAAGCATTTAAAAATGTTTGTCATTATGTAATAATGATGGTGATTAAAATCTAGCATTTTTGTGAGTTGCTAGGTTTTTATACATATTTTCAATTCAAAGATGTACAATTAAACACCTCTTAATTCTAATAATATTGATTACAGAATTGTAAAAGTAAACTCAGCACTAAAATAAACTGGAAAGGTATAGCATTTGCTTAATTCTTTAGAATTTTCAATTCAGAAATACCTATTCTGAATATTGAGCCATTTTTTTTCTTTTTGGAGGTGGGAAGGGGTGAAATTGAGAGGATTGGTTAAAAGAAAAGTCATCTTATAGACTTTACAAAATGACAGAAGCTTCTCTGCATTTGAGAACATAAACATTGTATAGAAGAATTCTAAATATTTCAAAGTTATATCTAAAACATTCTAAGCATGGCAGCATAAAATATTCAAAATGACTTGGGGTTACTATATAATTTCATAAAGCTAAAGTTACATTTATTAGGTATAAACCTTCAGTAAATATGGCAACAGCAACCATAGAAAGCATATTCTCCAGTTCTCCAGCAGTTTCTCTTACGTCTCTATGAAATAGTATTCCAAATAGCTGTTTGGATAGTAAAATTATCCATTTTCCATAAGATTCATCACTAATACCACCTTATGCCCTATTTTTGTTGGATGAAATGCAAGTTATGAGAGGGGTTTTTTCTTTTTTTTAAAAGATGAGTAGAAACCAAGGGGAAAAAATGTAAAAACATAGGTTTAAGACTTATTTGTAGATTAGCCAAATGGCCTGACCTGTCTGGACTTTAATAAATGTCAGGCAAATAAAATAGTTTCTGTCCCAGTAAAGCCGGTCTTGTGCTCCATTGTAGAGATTAGGACCTTGATGGAACCACCTGTTTAAAGAGACAGGACAAGATTTCAGAGGAAACTTTGAAATCACAGGGTACATGCTGCTTTTCTAGCTTGCAGTATTTCCCTACTAAAGCAATTCATTCTCAGGAATTTCCAAAGAGAGTGTGAAGAACTGATAGTTTTTCTCTTTAGAGAGCATACACATGGAATAATATTCCAAAACATGTAATGGTACCACTCAAATACCTATGGATTTTCCAAATCATCTAGCAATACCACTTAATAGAAGTAG